CGCGTCACAGCGACTCGTGTTTAATGATGTCACTTGTTCCAGCCGACGACCTCGTAGAACAGCGCCTTTAGCAGTCGAGCCTCGTAGGTGACCGTGTTCTTGCCGATGTGAATGCGGATCTCCTCCAGAGGCTGCTCGATGATGGCGGGAACCTCCTTACCGTAAGCTGCAGGTGAGACGCAGAAAACAACAATAATTATTAAGACGCACGGCTGTAGGTGTGTGTGTGTGTGCGTGTGTGACTGCTGCTCACCCTCGCAGTGCTCCAGGAACTGAATACACTCCTGTACCACGGCATCCCGCAGCATGACCATGTGTTTGGACATGTTCTCCAGCAGAGACAGGAAACAGCGCTTGGCGTAGAACCATGTGTCCGTCCCCAGCTACACACACACACACACAGATAAACAGAGGAAGTAAAATAAAGAATTAGTATATAAAATGAAAATAACAAGAAATAAAAAAGGATTGTAGTTAGCAGCAGATGTGAGAGACCAACAGAATACGTCACTTTTCGCCATGAATCACATGTGTGCTGCATTTCATGAGTTTCTGAACATGTTGTGTCCTCCAAAGATGTGATTCTTCTGATCACATTCGTATAAAATAATTAAAAAAAGAAGCAGAGATTATAGCAGAGTTTCTGTGACATGTGCCCCTACAGCCGTACTTTGGAGTACTGCAGGACGCTTATTACTTTTTTTTTAAGTTAATTTTAGGTTTCATAATAGCAAAACAACAATAAAAAACCATCACTTTATATTTAATATTCTCACTGCAGTGAAACCTCTGGAGCCACAAACAATGACAGAGATCCTCAGGGAAGCTCATTAAATTATAAGTGCAACTTCTCAAAAAGTTTAATGTGATTTCAATGTTAGTGTTATTGCACTGAAGAGTCTATAAATCAGACACTGATGGTGCAGTGCTGTACTGAACCTCTTTATATCTTTATTGCCTTTTTAATTCTGCCAGAAATAAAGTAAATTCAGAACCACTGAAATATAGTAGAGCACACTATAATATATATAATATATATAATATATATAATATATAACTAACAGGGTTCCCACTCTTTTTAAGAAATCATTTTCCAGGAGTTTTTCTTAACACTCCAGGACAACACTCGCACACAGTCAAATAATTTACCTGTAGGTCGAGTATTGACTTTTATTTCTCCTTTTTTAATGATCAAAGTGTTTCAGGACACAGAAAAGACGACACAGAAAAGATTGCGAGGTATTTGGTCATTTTCATCAATTTCCAGGTGTTTCCATGACTGGAAATCAGCCTTTAAATTTCCAGGTTTTCCAGGCTGCATGGGAACTCTGACCAAAAATATAAGCAAGCACCATCTGTGTTAATAAAACCAGGCTGTAAGAGCTGCCAGTCTTTGTTAATCGGTTTGACTTCAGAGACTTGGTCCTTCTGTTTGAGGAGATCTGAGTTCGGGTTGAGAGAAGCTGGCGTGACTGCGTCGCTCACAGGGCTTCACATTCCTTCGACTGTGAACGCGACTCACTGTGGAGGTTGTTGTGAGGATGAGAGGGGGAGACACTCGGGATGACGGCTTGTGTTCTCAGCTGGAGCTTAGTGGACTCAGCTGCAGCCAGAATCTGGTGTTGTGACTGGACCGGAACAAAGGTCCCAAAAGAGAGAGCTGCCCCAGCCTCAGAGGAGAAACTGATTCTGGGTTCAAAACTTCATCTTTCAAGTTTGACATTTTAATCAGAATGTGTTTATGTTCTCCTGTCCGTCACTGAAAACACTTCCTGTTGCCCTTAGACAATAAAAGCCAAACAACAAGTCTGTAACATTTATCTATAGTCAGGAATGTAATATAATATTAATAAGTGTGTTTTCATTAGTGTTTAATCAGCTGGTTATAAGAACTGTTGTGTTTCTGTTACGTTTTTATCTACAGAGGGAGCGGGTCCTCTTCTAGTGGCGGAGTCCACCACGTTAAACCGCCATGTTTCTACTACAGCTGCAGCTATTGATTGATTAAATAATCGAGTATTCTCCATCGATTAATCAACTAATCTGATGGGAAATACTTGAGTTGGTTCAGACTGTTAAATAAAACATCAGTTTAAGGACCATTAAAATAGTCTAAATTGGTCAAACATTCCAGAGCTGCGGCGCTGCAGGTGATCAGATGATTGATTACGTTTTCACTTAGGGTTTTTTCTGCGGATAAACAATGACTTGTAGCTAACGCTAACTAGCTCACAGTGCTAGGCTAGTTCGGTTTTAAAACAGACTGATTTCTGCTTGAAATGATCCCAAACTTTGGACACTTACTGTTGCTGTTTTCTGTCTCCGCAGCGCGTTGTGCGACAATAATAATCCTCCCTGTAAATCTCAGTGTGATGTTTATACGTTATGAAGAAAGTCTGGAGAGATTAAAAGACTGACCTTCTTGTTGTAAGGCTCCAGGCTCTTAATCACACGAGAGATGCCAAAGTCGTAGTTCCCCTTCGCACAGTACAGCGTCCTGACAGAAAAACACAACAGTGAGACTTTATCATCAGGTACTTTTAATTTCCGTCCCATTGTTTTGATCTGAGATGCTCGAGAGCGACATCCAGTGGCAAGTTAATCTCATATATCCAACCTTTATCAATGTCTGTTCTGTCTTTTAAAATCACTTCATTAATCATCAGCATGTCAGCAAGTCTCCTTGTATGTGTCCAACCTGTCATTTCACTTTGAATCAGTGTTCGTACGTATAGGGACTGAAAACGTGTCTGTGATTGGCTGTCTGCTCATTCAGGGTCAGTGAGAGCAGCTGGAACTCACCCGATGACCAGGTTGACGATGCAGAGGTGGAAGACCTTCTTATCGGGGTCGTCGTAGGAGATCTGCTCCTCTTCTTTCTCGATCTTCCTCATCAGCTCTTCAGCCTGTTAGACCACGTCAGAGTCAGAGGAAGTTCATTATTAACCCTATAAAAGTTATTAACATACAAATATTTACAGGCAAAACATGAAGGTTTCCAAACTTGATCAACACAATAAAAGCCTTTTATCGCAGAGTGAGTCGGCCTCAACCAGCGGTGGAAGAAGTATTGTATTATTTAGCACTTTAGCTCCCACACATCCTGCTGTAAACATACGCCTGAATCGATCAAACCCATACTGGTCGACCACTATTATTTACTTAAAGCTGCAGGAGACATAATTGCTAAAACTTCTGTGTTCGTTCAGTGTTTTCCCACCATGATGCACTGTGTGTGTATCCTAACCTCTCCTAACAAATGTGTTCAGTGAGATTCCTTCATAACAAAACACTTAAAAAGCAGATTTTATGAATCTCTGCATTGTTTACATCGTACACCTCGTACAGACATTGCTCCACAGCGACACAGGATCCTTTAAGTTGATGATATTTTAACTGCGTTAACCTCTCTGTACAGTACCTCTTCATTCTGGCTGGTCATGATGTAGGACACACACAGGTTGGCGAGGACCACAGCGCTCACATTCAGGATCTACAGTGGACACACACACACACACACACACACACACACACATTCATTTATCACTTTGTTAAACGTTATCGAACTGTTGCTGCCACTCGGTTTATAGAATATTCCCAACCAGCACTCAGGTCTTTGTTGAACTAACTCAGGGTCATGCACGTTTCCTCAGACTTATTAGAAGCCAGATTAGAAAATAATGATTCACATTAGTAAAAAAAAGCAACTGTTAATATTTCAGAGGATAGTTGACACAACTGGTGTAATTTCTCACCCGAAACAAGCAACAAGAAATTAAACTTTTTTAATGTTTAAACTAAATTTAAGAGGAAAAAAGATATTAGACCACTGGTTTCCAACCTTAAGGGACCACTGGCATGTGACATATTTTATAGATATTTTATATTATTATTATATTATTCAAAACTGTACAATGAAC